CACACAAGTTAGATGGCTTTGACATTAAACAGTTGGTGTTTTGGGAAATATATGGTGTCGTGGTTATGCTTTTTTAAAAGTCTTATTTTTTAGGCTCACAGGCCAGTATTTTTGAATGAAATTATGTGATATTTGCTGTTTGCTTCAGGATAATCTGAGAGGACCCTGTGGTTAGGGCACAGACAACATGAAGTTGACCAGAAATTGACAGTTATTTAAACAGGAGAGTGAGTACTAAGCAGTCAGTAATACGGATCTGCCACTTTCTGCATATGTTTATAATCCTCTCCAATAAAACTTCTTTTGGAAAACATAGGGTGACTATTAAGTGATTCAGTATGGTCAGACCCAGGTTGCAAGAAGCCGCAAAGAGTAATTTATTTGTTCTTTTTGTTTTTTATTTTATTTTATTTTTTTTTGGTGGAACCGGGGATTGAACTCAGGCCTTTGTGCTTGCCAGGGAAGCGCTTATTCCACTGAGCCATCTCCCCGGCCCCCTTACAAAGAGTAATTTAATATCTGTGTTTTCAAGTTCCATCAAGGCGCCAGTCGTGTTTTAATTTCCTTTGTGTCACAGGCTTTCTGTCTCACCTATCACATTGAGGGAGTTCTGTGGAATTTTTAATTTCTGGGAGATATTATATTCATGAGACCTGTATTTGATTAGAAGTTTCTTAGGTACCAGTCACTGGTCACCAGGCTATACAAAAATCTAAAGTCCTCCTGGACTCCTGCCTTTACCTTCTCCCATATGGTCTGTCACCAACATCCTTCAAGAGAAGAGGGACAGGGCTGGCCAGATAACTCAGTAGACTAAAGCACCTGCTTAGGTAGACTCAGGGACCGGGGTTAGATCCCTGGCATTATGTGCCAGCCCTGCTTCCAGGCAGCACTGAGATAGCCATTGAGACTGAGTGTGCTGGTGTGTGCCTGTAATCCCAGTGCTTGGGAGGCTGAACGAAGGAGGATCACTACGAGTCTGATCTGTGTAGTGAGACCCTGTAGACTCTGTAATAAATACTTAAAAAAGAGAGAGAGAGGAAAAAAAAAAAAAAAAAGGACAGATGACCAGAAGGTGCATGAAAAAGGGCCTCTCTAATTATCAGGAAAATGAAAATTAAAGCCGCAGTAGCGTAGTACCTCCCACCCTTTAAAATGTTCTTTTCAAAAAAGTGAAAGATAAGGGCTGATGGGGAAATGCTGTTTTCTAACTGAACCTGATTTATTCTAACCAGAAAAGAGCAGAGAGGCAAGGGTGTTCTAGGAGCTGAATGGGTTTTGAAGCAGAGCAAAGGCGCTCTTGGGCGCTGGTGGTGGGGATGCAGATTGCCACAGCCATTATGAAGAACAGCGAGGGCTCCTCAGCAAACGCAGAGTGCAGCTACCATATTACCCACTAGTTCCTCCATTGACGGCTTTCCAGGCAAAAGAAATGAATGTATAGAAAAGAAATGAAATTAATATTGAGAAGAGACGTTTGCACTCCCACGGTCATTGCGGAGAAGTCTGCAGTCGCTGAGATGTGCGGTGGACACAGAAGGTGATGGGAGAGACACAGCCCATGCCCTTGGTTCTGCCGGAACCTACACAACACTGGCCTTGTGGGGACACGAAACAGATGGCAGTCACGAGAGGCCAGTTAGGACTGTGACACGCAGCTTAGGGACATGTTGGTCGGAGGCTGCACGATCTGAGTTAGACACAGTCAGTTCTGGGGATGTTTTGGAAGTCATGATCCGCGTGGCTAGTAGCAGAGCGTTTCCATCACTAAGAGAGTACACGGTTAGCGTTCCTGTTGCAAGAGAGAAATTAGGAGAGGTGCTGGTGTGTTAACTTGACAGCCCCCCAGCCGTATGTCCGCAGCATATCCTGTAGGCGTAGACTGTCTTTTCAGGTCCCGGAAGCCGTGGGCTCCATGCTGCGCATGCGCCGCTCGCCAGCCGCGCTGGCCAGTCCTCCGGCCACCGGCAAGAAGCGCTCGGGACCGGAAAGCGGCTCTTCGCAGCCTGCACGTTGTTTCAGCTGAGTCCATTTTCCCTGAAAAACTGATTTGATGGTTTTTTTTCCTGGCTAGGGATTGAAGCCGGAGCAATGACAGACAGGTGCCACCATGGCCTGCCTGAACAGTTTTTACTAATCAGGGCTTACCACTCCTCCTCTGCCTCCAACAGTCATCGATTGATTATTGATGAACTGAGCTTGATTATTGATCATTACTGAACTCAGAGTGTGACCTCGGCCTCCTGTCCTGGCCCACAGGGCCCGCGTGACCTGTCTCCTGCCTGGCGCTCTGCCTTCACGTCCGGCTGCTCTCTCCGGGTTGGTATAGATGTGACCCCCAGCTCTGGGCTCTGCACTTGGGCCTGCCAGGCCCTGCAGTTCCTAATTCAGGTTGTCACTTGGACAGAAGCGCCTCCGCTGGCACAGTTCCTGTGCTGGTTTCCGCGTGCCGCCGCTTGCTTCTCACCCCTTTCCTCCGAGCATCCTGGCCTCCTTTCTCCTCTCATCTCCCCAGAGTCTATCCTTGTGGCCAACCCAGACCACCACACCTCACCAATGTGACCTGTGCAAGATCGTTTAGGATGCAGCAGTGTGCTCTGTGGACGTGAAAGCTAGAGCACCTCAAATCAAAGAGTGACGGTGACACCTGGTGGCTCTGGGGTGATCTCTGTCGAGGTGGTACAGTGGTAAAGGTGCTCCTTTGAATTCGTAGGACACACAGACTTCTTGTATAAGTACATGAATGCCCTCTGCTCTCAAAAAATTCCTTGTTTGGTAGTGATGTGTGAAGAAAAATACTCTGAAAAACATGCACAGGTGGAGGCTCTGGGTAGAGTAGGGCATGAATAACGCTGCCGGGAAGAGCAGGTGTTCCCAGCGCAAGTGTGACAGCAACAGGGCTGTTACCTGCCAGCCTTCCAGTCATTATAGCATTAACTCAAATTCCAAGCGTGCAGGTCGCGAGTAGCCAAGAGATACGAGCCTCCGCAGCCCCTGATGAGGAGACTCAGGTGTGGCAGCCCACACCCTCGGCAGAGGGAAGGTTCGAGGCTCACGAGGCCAGTGGAGCTGGGTCGTGGGAGGATCGCAGACCCAGGTCTGAGTGCATCTGAGTACAGTGAGATTCCATCTGAGGAGTAGCTCGGTGTAGCTTGAGAAGGAAGATGGGGAGGAGCCGATGTCAAGTAGGAACACTGAGGACGCACGAGGCTGAGTGGATGTGGGGGGAGCCGGGAGGTGCGGGGCTCAGTTCCCTGGATCCTCACGCTTCTGGCCCATCTTCCTGCTCACCACTGAGCCTCCCGAGGCTGAGATCGCTAAGTCGGGGTTGCGTACACTGACCCTGTGAGTCGATCCTCTCACAGTGCAGGAGGGACAAGGACGCCCACGTCTCGCCCTGCCCCGGGCTGCTGCGCCTCACCTGGTGCCTGGCCCTCAGGGCCTGGCCAGTGGTGCTTTCAGAGAGAATCGGCTCACCACCATCTAAACAACTATGCTAGACTCCACCAAGCAGGATTCTTAGGAAGAGATACTGGCCCCTCTGTGTGTGTGTGAAAATCCAGGGACTTCTGTCCTGAAGAGTAACTTAAAATAATTTATTTTAAAGTATAATTGCCGGTAACATCATTACCATAACACCGTAACTCCTGTAATGATAAAATCTGGCAATATCTGTGAGCAGACTCATAAAAAGTAGAAAAAGTAGGCAATTTAAAAAAAATAAACCTCTTTGTCTCACACTTTGTGCAGTAGTAGCATAAAGCCATGTAGCAATTGATGCTTTTCATGGATCACTGAAGAGCTTTGTCCACCCACCACTGTGGTCTTTCCCTTCGTGTGTGCCACTCCATCATGCTGCACACTCCTTGGCTGTGACTTTTTAACTACTTTCCTCAAACATGTGCCAAGTAAGCCTCAAACTTGCAAGTTACTGGGAAGAGAGCTGCCTTTCATTGTAGTTCCACCGTGTGCTGGTGCCGTCTACTCTGACCACGCATGTGGCTGTCACCCACTGCCGGCCCTGCTGTGTGTTTCCATCATTCGGGTGCACATGGCTTGACTTCTGGGAGTGTCGGTGACTCAGTGAAAATCCTAGTTTAAAATTGTGGCCCGTGGGCGTTTCCATGTGTCCTCCTTCTGTATCAGGACAGACAACACAGAAGACGTGGCCACCAAGTGCGCTGCTTCCAGAGAAGGGGCTAGCTCTTCCTTTTAGCCGCATTCCGTGTTTTCTATAAAAAGGAGTGTGTCCACGGTCATGCTGGACACCTGCGTTGCCCTCCTTAGTGCCTTTCCGTGGAGCATCCCACACCAAATGCTGTTGGGTGCGCCCTGGTCTGGCCTGCTTTTTTTTCCCCTGGAGCTAGCTTTGTGGGTCTCTGAATAAATTAATTTTGTAAATGGCCCCAGGAGCTGCCAGATCTCTGAAGGACTTAGCTTGCTTTGGTTTACACCTCCGTATTAGGCTTAATTTTTAAAATTGCTTCTAGGGATGTGATAACTTAGGAGCTACTACTTTGTGGCTGTATGAAAAAGCTCAGAGAAAACAGTCATACTTTACTAGTGCTTTGTAACCTGCTAGATAATATTTGTAAGTACTGTGTAAGAGCCCCCTTTTATCCTTTTAAAATAGTGAAATGTGTCCAAAGATTAGTGCAGACATGTCCTGTGGGAGGACTGGGGTGAAGGCTGCCTCACCTGACATTACTGAAGCGGGGCACAGCGGTTGTGTCCTGAGGATTTCCCCACATCCTCTTCCATTCTCCAGGGTAATGGAAGACTGCAGGGGCCACTGAGTCGTTGTGGAGACATTGATTACTCTGCTGCTGCCTGGTGCAGGTGTCTAAAGGATTTCCATCCATGATGCTGTCTTAAAAAAAGATAACCCTTTCTTTAAGATAGTAGTCGTGAAATGAACAACACCATATGCCCAAGGGGGGGGGGATACAACACTTAATAACCAGAGACCATCTTGTCCCCCCATCTGCTCTTTCTCCTAGGTACAACTTGGCCAAGTAGAAATCCAGTGCCCTATCACCGAGTGCTTCGAATTTCTGGAAGAGACAACTGTAGTGTACAACCTCACACATGAAGACACCATCAAGTACAAGTACTTCTCGGAGCTCGGCCGCATTGATCCCAGCACGAAGCCGTGTCCCCAGTGCACGCACTTTACGACCTTTAAGAGGAAAGGACACATCCCCACCCCTTCCAGATCAGAAAGCAAATACAAGGTGAGCACATGCCTGGCCGGTCTGGTTTCAGGATCACCTGCAGGAGGCCTGCTTGGGGCAGCCTTAACCCAAGTCAGAGGGGCCCCTTGTGTCTTGCCTAAAAGTCTGAAAATGTGTGATTTGGGGAGGCTGATGCTAAGAGTTCTTTGTTTTAATGTATTTGGTACAAGATCTCACTTTGCAACTCGGACTCAGTGACCCTCCTGTCTCAGCATCCCCAGCACTGGGATTACAGGTTTGCACCACCATGCCCAATCTTATTGGCCAGCTCAGCACACCCGGGGTTAGGGCTAGCACGGCATATGGTACCAGGGATCAAACCTGGGTCCTTGCACTTGCCTAGGCAGGTGCTTAGACCACTGAGCTATCTCCATGGCCCCTAGGAGAGTTGGTAAGGATCAAATTTACATTTTTCCTTTCCCTTAGTTGTATTGAAAATTGTTCCAGTAACCTAATTGGAAAGCAAACCTTTCCTTGTTGCCATTGCCAAATGCTACATAAATTCTAAGGCTTTTTTATTTAGTTATATCTATTTGAAGCATGAACTTGACCTGTGCAGTGGGTCACGTAAGTCTCCTGGCTCTGATAAGTGAAAACAGTGTAAACTCCTGTCCACCCATCACTGCGCAGATGCAGAGTGCCAGCATGTGCGTGTGCTGTGCTGAGGGTAGGAGATGGGGTAACGAGGCACAGCCCCTGCCTCTGAAGGCCTCATAAAGGTGTGGCAGTGGCTTTGTGCTCCTGGAAATCTGCTCAGGATGAGAGGCTTGTCCTGGCTTGCAGCATGGGAAGTCGGGTCCCTGAAGCCTGAGTCCTCCTGCTGTGGGCCAGGCAGGAGCTCCAGGTAGAGCAGGGCAGGAGGGTCCCCCTCACTGAGACTGCCACCCCCAGACCTGGCCACCTCCTCAGCCTCATCCCTTCCACTAGCAGCACCTTGGGAAGGAAGCCGTGACTACCTCTGGGGACTCAAGACCAAACCAGAGCAGATGAGAGGACACAAGCTGTAAGGCCACAGTTCTGTATGATTGGGAAAATAAAGCCTCACAGAGCTCTGTGCTCCCAGGGTCCTTGGGGATGCTTGTGTGGGGCAGCGTGGTTCTCTGGGCAGTGCGGTCCAAGCACAGGTGCTTGTGTCCTCGGATTCTGGGTGACTCCGGTGGGCCTGGAAGACTTGACCCCTTGGGAGCTAGCCCTGGACTCGGCTTGTGCCTGGGAAGCTTGAGGACACACAGGTCCCTGGGCCATCCCAGAACCCTTTCCTGCAGGAGGCTGAGGGCTGCAGAGGGGAGGAAATGTGCCTGAGCAGTCCCCACCCTTACGCGGAGGGCAGCACGCAGTGGCTCCTCAGCGTTGCCTTTTGTCGCAGAGAGCTCTGCTGGGATCAGTGAGGAGTGGCCCTGTGTTGTTGGTCCTGCAGCCCGCAAGGACCAGGCTGACTGGTACTTCCCCACCTGCAGCAGAGAGCTGGGGACATCTTAGTTACTAGCACCTCCTGGGGACTAATTGGTCCTTGAAAGTACTTAACTTGGTCTTAGTGAATTCTTCTTTCCTTGTTTACTTACGGTTTTGTGCAGGCTTGTTTCTTTAAGGGTTAGCTATCAGGAAGGAAGAACACCCTTTTGCTAGTCTTCTGTAAAACCTCTCACTTTGGAGGTCACGAGACGCTATGACCTCGATGCTGACCAACATCAGCAGACTGCTTTCGTGTGGCTGTGTGTTTGGGTGATGGCTTTTGGTCCAGTCGTCGGCTAGTAGTGCCATCTGGGGATTGCTCACGTTGTAAGGACTTGTATTTTATAATTTAGGACAGTGGTTGTTTTCCAGATTATGTTTAAAATTGGATACATGTAAATCGAGACTATAGTATTTTGAATTTGGGGTAATTAAAACATGTGTGCAGCCAGGTGTGTGGTGTAAGCCTGTAATCCGAGGAATTTGGAGGCTGAGGTAGGAGGATCGCGATGCGTTTGAAGGCAGCCTGGGATACCTAGACAGCACGAGGCCAGGCTGGATTGTACAACCGACACCTAGCCTCCAAAGCCAACCCCTCAGAAAGCTGAAGCAAAACTCCTATGAGGCGAATTTTCACAAGTAATACGTCCCTGGTAGGGAGGATTACGCTTTGCTGTTCCTCATTACTCCTAGAAGGGGACATCTGTAGCACACGAGTTTGCACTGTGCCCTGTGCACTGGAGGCTTCCAGTGCTGATTCCAAGTATTTTTCACATGAGGCTCGTACAGTAGCGCCTGTTGGCCAACCCCGAGCTCCACTGTAACGTTGGCTTCCGGGCTCACAAGGCCTCACCTGCCTGGATATCACAGATGAAGGGGCATTGACAACCCTGCAGCACGTGCGGTGGCAGTGGACAGCATGGCAGTAAGGCCTTCCTGTTTTCACTCGCTGGGCACTTTCCACATGTGACGCCTGCACCCGTCACATGTGGAGTGTAAACTAGTACAACCACCATGGAAATCCGTGCCGAGATTCCTCACAAAACTAAAACGAGAAGTGCCACCGGACCCAGCGCTTTCCTGCTTTCCTCGCAGCAGGTGGCATCTGGGCTCCTACGGGGCACGTGGCGCACTGGCCTGAGGCCCGTCTTTTCTAGCGCATGTCTAGGAGGCCAGGCCCAGGCTTGCTGCATGCACTGCCGGCAGCAAGCGCCATGTGCTACGGGGAATACATTCAAAATATGTCTGTTGAATGATAATGGTAAACCGGCCAACATTTCCATAAGTGAGTTTGCCAAGGAGGAAAAGGAGGGCCTCCGTGCTGAGTTCAAACTGGATTTAAATAAACTCTCTACCTGACCTGCTGTCACAGCTCTGTCGCCTTGGGCAGTGGTCGTGTCTCCACCGGAAAGGGATGGTGCTCATGTTCTGAGCACCTGGTGAGGGCTGAAAGGGCTCACGCAGCACCAGGGCTGACGTCCCGGGAGTGCCCAGCGTGGGCAAACGGCTGGCACCACTGCTGGGCACACAGCAGAATGAAGCCCGGCACAAGGGAGCGGGGGGCGGGGGTGACCTGAACTCGTCAGAGATGATAGCTCGGAGGAGAGCGCTGGGGCCGGGCATTGCTAGGCTTAGTTTTTTGAGGAATCTCCACGCGGATTTCCATGATGGTTGTACTAGTTTACACTCCCGCCAACAATGGAAAAAAGTCTGTTTCCACCCGCAGCGTCACCAGTACTTGTTACCAGTTGATTCATGAGGACAGCCATTCTTTCTGAGTTGAGATAGAATCTCAGTGCTTTTTTAATTCACATTTCTCTAATGGCCAAAGCTGTTGAATGTGTTTTCATGTATTTATTGGCCATTTACACTTCTTCCGAGGAGTTTCTGTTCATTACAGCTTATAGCAGCACGACTCATATAACTAAGTCTTGGAAGCAACCTGTATCCCTTGAATAGAAGATTAGGCAAAGAAGATAGGTAAAATAAATTTAAAAACTAGGTCAAGTACTCTGTGGTATTTACACACCATAAAGACAAGCTTGAGGCATCCATGGGCACATGGAAGCACTTGGAGACTGTAATGGTAAGTAAAATAAGTCAGATAGGCAAGCTTAGATGTCACAGGTTTTTATCTTACATGAGAAACTCAAAAGTATGTATATGCATAAATAAAGAGTAAAATCGGAAATAGATAAACAGGAACAGGGTGACCTTGTTCAGAGGATGGGGGAATAGGCTCTGGAAGAAGGAGAAGAAAAGGAAGAGAAGAGAAGGGAGGGGGAAGGGAACTGAAGAAAAAAATGAAAGAAGAGCTTTGGCAAGACGGGAAGGGGTCCAGGCATTGGGAGGGAGAGAGAAGGGGCCGGGTCTAGAGAAAAAGAATGAAGAATGACATGGGCCAGGTTCCCGGGATGAACATAACCACTGTCTGCTGCAAACACTGGCGATCAAGACAAATTTTAAAATATGAGCTAAAAAATGGACAGTGGGAGGACAGGTGGAATTGATGAGTGTGAAGCAGGAGCAGCAGCGTAGTACTGGACACGTCCCTTGCTCTGAACTAGGCTGGCGGTGGTCGGGGACCAGGGACGAGCTGCCTGGGAAGCAGGCTCGGGGCCCCCAGTGGGGGTTGTCCCTCCTAGGAGGTGAAGTGGGCCTTGGCCCTGACCCCCGAGAAGTGGAAGGAAATCGCTTTGGGAGGTGGGCGGGGTGGTTGGAAGAGAGGAGAGGAGGGGTGACCCGGGGGAGAAAACAGGCCTTAACTCAGAAATTGACGCAAGCGGGTGCAATTCTAGGTTTCATTCTTGTTCCAGGAGTAGACTAAGGAAGTTGTTTTCATACTGATTTGGAGAAAGAGTTGAAGGTCATGCATAGCAACAGAGAAGGTGTTAAAGCCATGATGTCTCTTTTCCCTTTCCCTGAGGCGAACTTAATACAACCCCAATTCTGTTCACAGGTTTGTTTCTTTGTTTCGTTTTGGTTTTTGGAGGCCAAGTCTTGCTGTGCGGTTCATGCTGGCCTTAAACTCAATATGTAATCCAGGCTGGCCTCAGACTCACAGCAGTCCTCCTGCCTCAGTGTTGTGAGTGCAGGGATTACAGGCTTGTGGCAGCATGCCCGGCCCTCCTCGCAAGTACGAAGCAGAACTGTGAAGATGTGCGCAGTGATGTGTGACACAAGGCAGAAGGAAAAAAGGCAAGAAGACGTACTGGAGGAGCTCTTGCTCGTACCTTACAGCTTGAGTATTTTTCCTAAGCATTCTAGGTAAATATCACGTTAAGGTGCTCAAATATCTTATTTCCTTACGTTATACAAGCACCTTCGTGTGAGGCTTTCAGGAACCCTTGAGTCAGCACGTTGCTCCTAAACTATACACGTTAAAGTGTGCTTAAGCTTCCTTGGCAGAAATGACTCAGACTTTTTTCCACATGCAGAAGTGCTGGAAGCATCCAGGAAGGTATACTTAGCGTGCTGCCCGCGTCTTATGACATCGCTTGAAGTTGGCAGTGTTTGCAGTTTGAGAAGCAGCTTGTGAATCAGCCTGTACGGTCACGGCAGCTTCTGACGCACACTGGTTTCTCCTGGGATTCAAGTATCATTCGTATCCAGAGCCAGTAGAAAACCAGTGTGGTTTCCTAACTGTGGTTGCTGGCACAGATGTTGGAGGGCGGCAACAGAGATGAAGTTGTCCAGCTCGCTCTAAGGAGGCCAGTGAAGCGGAAGGGGTGTTCCAGAAGTTATCATCAGAGTGTTTATGATGCCCAGCCGGGAGGCCAACTTACCACGTTTTATTCAAGCCCGTTTCTCCCTTCAGTTGCTAGTGAGGTCCTGTGCTAGTGTCACGGTTCTTTACTGTCTTGATGCACAAAACAGCTGTGATCGTGAAGAGTTCGTGCTTCGGTTTCATCTTCTCACAGCACGGAATGGTGCACGTCACGATGCTTTAGCCTGCGTGAGGCTGTAGCGTCTACCACAGGAATACAGTAACCGAGACCTGGGGCTGCCATATAGTACCTGCCGTGGTGTCAAGACTTGTTTTGTTCTTACTCGTTTATTTTTACTCCAGATAGCAGGGCTCCTCTTAACAGGTTCAGAATTCCAGGAAGTAAAGCAGTGCTTGGAGCCATCCTGGATTCTGGAGCGAGCTAGTCAAGGTTTTTAAATTCTGGTAACTTTAGTCTTGAGACATTCAGAGCTTTGCCTCTTGTAGGAGAGTTTGCAGGCTGATCAGGATCTCACTAAGATGTCCTTAGGACAGGACGATTGTGCGCCTAGCCTGGTAATGTGAGGAATGGTGAAGCCGTCCCAGCTGCCGGTGACCACTTAGAGCCTAGGTTTCCTTTAGATTCTCATAATTCATTGTGTGAGTAAAATCTTGAACAGGGTTTTGCTGATTCACCTAGATTGGGAATCGTGTAGACTTCTGACCTACTGATGGTTTAGCACGATTGCAATTGGGGCTCCAATTTCATCTTTGTCTCGCAGCTGGGCAGCTCTGAGCCACTGGTGGTGCATGCAGGACTGTCCCATTGGGCGGCACCGGACCGTCTTACCAGGTGGTACGAGCTGTCCAGTGGGGCAGTCATGTCATGCACAGTGGTCTGAGCCAGGAGGGGCATGTAGACCCCAGCACTTCATGGCTGCTGCAGTCAGCAGTTAAGATATGAGTAGAGAGGGAGCAAGTCTGGGCACAGTGCACAGCGTGCTGGCCTTGGACTCGGTGAACGTATGTGAAGGGCGGCCCCACACATGCGTGTGCTGTCTGCGCTCTCCGAGCCTTGGTTTCCTCCCCTGACCTACGTCCCTGCATAGCTTTGTGAGGACCAAACTGAAGCACGATAGTACTGTTGAAAAGCCGGCTCTGCATGGTCCCTGTGGACACCCGCGGCCAGCGGACTGCAGCCCTGACCGCTCTTCTTCCCACGCAGGTGCAGTGCCCCGCCTGCCAGTTCGTCTGGTGTTTTAAGTGCCATGCTCCTTGGCACGAAGGTGTCAACTGCAAAGAGTACAAAAAGGGAGACAAACTGCTGCGTCACTGGGCCAGCGAGATGGAGCATGGGCAGCGGAACGCCCAGAAGTGTCCCAAGTGCAAGGTGAGCCGCGTCGTGTCGCTTTAGAGGAGTAGAAACCGAACGTTGTCCGTGTAAGTAGAACAGATGGTCATTATTTGCGTTATACTTCCAAACTTAGACCTGCTTGCCACGCTGACTTGAAGCATCAGAATGTTTAGTTTATATTTAAGAATTAAGACATGTATACCAGGGAAGGCTAGTGCGAAAACGACACAGTGTTATTTCTAGTTTGTCACACACTGTGTAGGATCACTTCTCAGTTAGGCAGGCTCTGGATCCTTGCAGCCCTTTGCTTTTTTGTCCTTCACTTGAGGACTACATTTTGCTTTTTATAGATGAGCAGAGGGAGACACTAATCCTATAATCAGAACTTAGGGCTTTATGGTCCCCACCTTTTCACTTTGCTCTTCAGGCATGTAGTCAACAGTTAGCACGCCCTGGAGCTAAAGCCAGGCTATTTGATGCCACCCATGCACAGAGCCAGGAAAGGCCTTCCTAATCCAGTGGGAAAAGGTGTACTTGGTGCTCATAAGAGGGAGATCCGTTAGGCTGGGTGTGGCGGCACACGCCTATCACCCTAGCACTCAGGAGGCTGAGGCGGGAGGATCTCTGAGTTTGAGGCCAGCCTGGGCCACAAAGTGAGTTCAAGGCCAGTGTGAACTGCACAGTGAGACCCTGTCTCTTCATTTCTTGTAATTTCTTTCTTCTTCCAATTTTGCATGCATATATCTGGTAATATGAATGACTGAAAGACAGCATTATGTATTAAGACAAACACTGTGAAAGTTGTATCACTTTGTTAAGTGAAAATCTGTATTACTTATAAAAGAAAAAATATTGGCACAATGAACAGCAGGTTAGAGCAGTTAGGGCAGATCCTTTCCACCCAGGATGTAGGATCTGGCTTAGTTACTTAACTAAGCTTCTAGGCTCAAGTTGGCGCAGTGTATCAGTCACAACAACCTGTGTTCTAATTGTTCTTTAATGGGCTGAAAAATAAAAGTAAACTAAACAATGGATGCAATGATTTGAGATGAACTTAAAGTACAAAACGCTAATGAGATGAATTGGCCTTCTCCAAAGACAGCCTTAAGCAGGCATCCGTAGGCATCACTTTCGAGAGGCCCGCCCGGCTGACCTAAGCAAGCCTGCCCTCCCGCGGCGAGGGGTGCTGCACGCAGCACGGTACCTCATGCTGTGCTGTACTGTCTGCATACAACATGATAGGTGAATCTAGGACCATGGACGGCTGCCATGGTATTACAGGGTTCATAATACACTTTCATTTTTTTCAAATTAGTTTCACAGCAAATAAATTTTAAACATTTCCAGTAATTTGAACTTAATTTTCCTGGTGCTGCATCTCCACAGAGGAACTACAGAAGTATTCTTAAAAGAATTTAAGGCAAAATTTAAGGCCCTGCTGATTCACTCAGTGAAATTTCCAAACTTCTCAAGTTGACACAATGATGGAATCTCAATGTTGTTTTAATTTGCATTTCTCAAATGACCAGTGATACTCAACAATTTTTCATATGTTTACTTGCCATTTTTATTTCTTCCTCTGAGAAGTGTATAACCCATTTCAGATGCCCATTTTTGGACTGGGTCTTTGAATTTGGGGGGTGCTGATTTTTTAAAATTTTTTATATGTTCTATATAGGGAGAGTGAGAGATATCTGTTGAAATTTGAAGTTTTTTTTTTTCCTTTTTTCATCCTACTTTAGAAAATGAGGGATGGGGAATGTAGCTCAGTGGCACAGCACCTGCCTGGCAAGTGTGAGGTATTGAGTTTGATTCCCAGTACCAAAAAGAAAAAAAAAAATGATATATGTGTTTATACTCTGAGGTGTATGGTTTGTACTTACTGCCAGATAACGGTCCCTAGAAGCAGACGCTGCTCCCTGCAGCTCCTCTGTGAGCATTGAG